ACATTGGCCTTATTAAAGAAGATACATTTGTGATGAAAGGAAAGACATAATAACCAGGATGTGATAAAGGTACACTTGAATAAGTAAGTGTTTACTTCTCCCATTGAACCTGGTACTGGGATAAATGAAATGTGCCTCTTAAGATGACTTGCAGGAGCTGTAGTGATTAGATTTGCTGAGCCAGTCCCCAAGAGGCATCTTATCTCTAAAGCTGTGGCAAAGATGGGAGGATTCATTCAGGTACAGTTGGTAGCCATATCATGCACTTAGAGGCATCTCTCTTTTCCTTCCCTCTTTGCTAGTCTTATTACTTTCTCTCCAACACCATGTAATGAATGTGAGAGTCCCTGTCCCTCATAGCTCTAGATGTGATTGCTAGACTGACAGAGATTATGCCTAATATATCTTTATATTTTCAAGAGCCACTGGACAAGATGGAGTTATTGTGTTTGTGCCATGTATGTTGTGCCACTATGACGTATTTTGTTCCCTTTCCTGTCCTATCTTCCATGAGATTAATCAAATCTTGCTTGCTAGACCCTTGTCTGGGATGGGAACCCTACAGTTCCTGGGTCACATACAATCCTTGGCTTCAACTTCAAAAGCTCTCTTGTGATGTAACCTCTAACCTCTGGTATTTGTCACTTGTGCAGCAGCAACTCATTGAGTATTAGGATTGCCAAAGTCAAAGGGGGCTCCTGTACCATTAATGATTGTGTAGAAAAGGGAATTTTATAACATGTTGCTTGTCACACAAGCAGGTAACTGTATGTAGAGAGATCTTGTAGCACCAAGAAGAACTTGGCAGCATGAGCTTTTGTAGACTTCAGTCTACTTCCTCAGATGCTTTTGGAACATGAAGTTGAGCTCTGGGGCTAAAAACTGGAGCAAATAGAAGCTAACACAGAAAATGCACATCATTTATAAACAGCATGGCACAAGTGGAGGATTAGTAACAAAGAGAAGGCAGAGGTGAAGATGGAGGAGGAGGAAATATTTTATTTGTATATGTGAGAGCAGAGTTGAGCATTCCAGAGGCATCAGCAGCAGTGAAGGACCTTGAGAAATTTTCTGCCTGACCAGTTGCCCCAAAGTGCTGTCCCTTTGAGATCTGGGTTTCTGTATGACATTATGAGCAACTTTTAGAGGTTAGGGGAGGACATTGATTCCCCAGGTCTCCTCTGCCACCCCCATGCCTGAAAACAAAATTCCAATCATCTCACCCATAAAAATGTTTCCCTAGCACCCCCTCTGCACTGGAAGTTTGGTTCAGTATTTCATTTTGTCAGAAGCAAAAATCTGGTCAAGGTTTTTAGAAAAAAGGCTCAAATGGCCCAGGAGAGCAAAACAACAACAACAACCAAACAACCAACAAGGCAAAATTGCTATTATGTCCAATATTTCTCATGTTTTAGCCCTGCAATAAATAACAGGGAATGAGATGCTGCTCACCCAGTAAACCCTAGGGGAGAGTGTTTCTAAAGAGAGAGCCACCAAGAAGAAGGCTTGATCCCAGGTTGCTACAAGAGGTTAATCTGTAAGTCATGGGACAATAAGACAGAAAAAGGGCCTCTCCACCTCCTCACAGCAGATCGGTGAAGAAGCAGAATGGGCGTGTGTGTAGTACACTGGTTGTCCTCTGCCTTACCTTCTCCAAAGATTCAACAGTAAAGCACAACTTTCCTTTCTTCTGTGCAGCCTGGAGCAGGATCCTTGTTTAAGCCCTTTGGAGGGAATTTAAACTGAGAGGAAAGCAAGGAATAAATAAAGGGATGGGGAGAATTCTGTGTCTTTCAATTTTTTTTGGAAAACTTTATATTTCTCTTTAGAAATATAATGGAAAATAACTTGAGACTTAAAAAAAATATATGAATGCCCTACTTGGAAAACCAAGGATTGAATCTAGGCCCATTTTATGAGAAAACCTGTGATCTATCAAAGAGTCATATGTTTCCTACAATACACACACACACACACATACACACACACACACACACTTTCAAAACACAGTTTTGCTCAACACAAATTTCTTGTTTGTGTTTATTTTCAGTTTTAATGACCTGCTTTGTCAGTAACTGCAATGAACAGCGCAGGTCTGCAAGATGAGCAAGGAGCTTGTTTTCTTAAGAAGATCTCCTGCACTAAACATTGCGGGGAGGCAAGGGACACCTAATTAGGAAGGGAGAAGGGTAGCCAAGGCCTGGCAAAATCAATTGCAAAAGAAAAAGAAAGCAATTAGATCCAAGAACAAGCATGCTGACTGCAGAAGTGGTGGACAATTTCTGAAGATTTTCCCTTTTATATAAATATTGGTGGGAAGTTGTTTGCAAGGATAAAATACCTATGATGCGCCATGCACCTAATTTTACGATGGGACTCTTAAGGGAGTAAAAACTCGATAACCAATTGGCTCAGAATGGCAGAGGTGTATGTCACAGCTGACTGACGTGCTAGGCCAAGGAGCAACATTGTCTCCAGAGACATCCTTGAACGATTCACTTCTGCAAAATCAAACAGCAGACTGGGTTCACAGAGGAAAGGATGGCAGCAAACAAAGGTTAGCCAATAAATAATTTTCTTCCAAATAGTGTGAGTTAAAAGCTGACATTCTGGATTTGTTCAAGGTCAACAGTTGCTAGAAGGCTAGGATCTATGGGCTGGGTGTCATCCTGCCTTTGTTCTGTCCTTACAGGCAAGGCAACCACAAGACAATTTGTGGAGCAATGGATGGCCCTCAGATCAAGCTGTAAAAACAAGTAAATTGTTCTGGCACCTAAGGGAGAAAATTGCACCAGCTTTTTTCTCCTTCATGACTTACTGTGAAAATACAAAAGAACCAAACCAAATAAAACCCAATAATCATCTCCTGCCCTTTCATGTCATCCATATTCAACTGTCTGAGTTGGCTGCCTCACTCTGGCTAATGGTAGGATTGGCCCTACAGTTGACCCTCCATTTCCACAGATTCTACCACCTGGTACAATGTGTGTGTATGTGTATGTGTGTTGGTGGGGTGGTAGCAACCAAAAGGGCACATTCAGGCTTCTCCTTCACTGCATTCGTGTTGGTCTCCTTGTGAGCTTCCATTGCTGTGGAAAATCTGGGAAGGGAGCAGTGGGAAGAGGCCCAACCAGGTGTTACCTCTCTTTTGGGGTATCACTTGGTGAAGGCTACACTCCCCCTAGTGATGCCACTGGATTCTACCATCCATAGATTCCACCATTCACAGCTTCAAATGTTTCCCTTCCCCCCCAACTAACCTTGATTTTGCCATTTTATATCATAAGGAATGCCAATTTACTATGACATTGTATCAAAAATCCACCAAACAGTGATACCTTTATTGGCCAACCAAAATGCACAATATACTTGTTGCAAGCTTTTGAAGCTCCACTGGCTTCTTCATCAGGCAAGATGTTACAAACCAAACAGGAGAAAAAATTGGAGATGTTATTCAGATGCCTGGATTTTGATGTTTCTGTCTTCAGTTAAGATGGTTGGTGGAGGGTATCTTTTGCAGGCTGGTCCCTCCTCCTTCTGTCCATGTGTCTGACATGACATGACAGGACGAGGGGCTGCATCCCCTGTTCTGATCAAAAAGTATAGGAACTCTTTTATTATTTCTATATCCTCATTGTCTAGGTTGAACCTGTGAAGATCCTCCATGGTCATTACTTTTGTTTTCTTTATGTCCAACAGTAAGCCTGCCTTTGAACTTTTTTCTTTGACCTTCATCAATAGTTGCTCTAGGTCTTTGATGTTTTCTGCTAATAGTATGGTGTTGTCTGCATATCTTAGATTGTTGATGTTCCTTCCTCCTATTTTCACTCCTCCTCCTTCTATGTCCAAGATGGTTTTTCTCATAATATGTTCTGCATACAAGTTGAAAAAATAGGATGAAAGGATGCATCCTTGTCTGACCTCTTTGCCAATTGGGAACCATTCTGTTTCTCCGTGTTCTGTCCTGACAGTAGCCTCTTGCCCTATTTCTTCATGATAACTACATCATCCAAATATTTGCTTCTTTTGCCCTCAGCCTCTTTCACCTAGTACCCTGTGGGTTTTGCCAGTAATTTCCCACCAGATCTTTCTTATCATATCCCCAGTCAGTAGTGCATGCATGGCTGTCTCCTATCATGTCTCTTATTTGCTGCTTGATCCTAGTATGCTGGAGTCTATCCACAGTTGCCAAGCAACCATCTAAGATGCTACCTACAAATTGGTACTTTGGACCAGTGATGAATGATGCTGGAGACAGAAGCAGCTTCTAGGTGTTCCATTGAGGGCAAATGTGTTGAATAAGTGTCTCAAAGGACAGGGGTCACTGCAGGTGCGGCTGAGGTTGCCACTTTCCTCCTCCTGATTCTTTTCATTTAACCAGTGCCTAACACAGAGAAATTTCACAAATCAAGCTTTTATTGGTATGGGAAAGAAGTGATTTGGGAATGAGGTGATTTACTTGCTACATTTCTGACAATCACCTGCTAGTGGAAGCTATAACATTTCTCATTTGTGCAAAGTGGTTCACAACTCAGTACTGTAAGACAATAAAACAATCAAATAAAAACACAATCATAAAACTGAAGAGAGAGCTCCCAAGAGCTCATGGCTGGAAAAAGGGGAGAAAGCCAAGGTAAAAAAGATCAATCTGTAATAAATGCCAATAAATGCCAGCCAGAATTCAAGCCTGCTGTACTGCAGAGACAAGATTACCAGAGAACCTGGAAAATCTTCAGATACTCATTCCAAATGTGGTGTTGATCCCTTTCAACATTTCTTTTAGGAGATAGTCCTCTAATTTATTTACACACATTCCCTTTCCCACTCTGTGTGTGTATGTATGAATGTGTGTGTGTGTGTGTGTGTGTCAAAACCCTCAGGACAAAATCCAATTGCTTATTCCAACTAGAGAAATTAATTCCGTGGATTTTACATAAGTGTTGGCTTATGAATTTCCCATTGATTCAGTGGGTCTACACTGGTTGGGTGTAGTATAGAAAGTCAGCATGGTTCAGTGGTTTGAGTGTTGGGCTACGTATCTGGAGACCAAGGTTTGAATCCGTGTTCTGCTATGGAAACCCTTGGGTGACCTCAGGCAAATCACACTGTTTCCACTTCAGATGAATGCAAAGGCAACCCACCCCTCTAAACAACTATTTCCAAGAAAACCTTGAGATAGAGCTGCCTTAGGGTTACCATAAGTCAGAAATGACATTAAGGTGTACAACAACAACAACACTAGTTGGGAGTGGCAAGTTAGGTTTAGACCTTACAATTTAGTAAGGCAAGAACTTCCAATGGCACAAAATGGTTTCCTCTCATGAAATTTAGTCATTTCACTCTTCAATTGCTCCATCATTTTATTAAACAACCTCCCACATTTTAATTACTTAATTCCTTTTCTTTATCCTCATGACTATGAACTCAACCTACTCATAGGGAGTTTCACAATATTCTTGGGATTTCCTGCTATGCAATTTCTTACAGCTTGTTCTGGCTTCCTATAGGTGCTTGTCCATGCTGTTGTTGGCTTCTCTCAACCAGATTTCAGATTTTTATATCCCGTAGGGCCTCGGCAGATGACTAATAGGGTCGTCTTCGAGCCCTGGAAGAGGAGGGGCAGCCGCACGAGCGGCGCCCCTTCCTCCTCCCGAGGTTGCCCTCGGAGCTGCCGTCCATCCGCACGGCCGGCACTCCCAGGGCAACCTCCTGCCGCAGCGTCTGCACACGATGCGGTGGAAAAGTCAGGGAAAGTGTGCCCTACGCGTTTAGGGTGCACTTTCCCTGTCTTCCGAAAGGGGCGCTATTTTTGCACTCCTTTCAGGGACGCCATCGGTGCGCCGCGGTGTGGCTGCCATGGCCCCGCAGCGCACTGTCCCAGGGCATCCCCGACTGCCTGGTCTGCATCCCCCCGTAGTTCCATACTTCCCAAGATACTTGGGAAATGGAGACTTAAAAAAATGTAACTCCTAAATATGGCTTTCCCTTGCTTCCTCAGAAAATGTTACTGTTCATTTTTTTAAAAAAAATCTACTTCTATTTTTCCCTGTAGTTCTATATTTCCCAAGAGATTTGGGTAACAGAGACTTTTTTTTTTTTAAAAAAGTTAACTTCTAAATATAGCTTTCCACCTGCTTCTACAGAAAATGTTACTGTTCATTAGAAAAAAATGTACAAAGGAAAGCTAACTATATTTACAGGCTATGGGGGCCTTCAGAAAGGAAAAGGAAAAAGGTTTGGTCCCCTGACATCCTGCAGAGTCAAACCAGTGTTTAGATGCAGGAGAGGTCTCTTTGTCAAAGAAAATTATTGGAGCAGCCATCCGGCATTTTGAAAACTCTCGGGTTTAACATAGAAAGGCGAAGGATAGGGTCTGGCTTGGTCATGCAAGTGGCAAGGTGAAAGGTCTGATTGGCTAAAATGAACTGAGGGTGTCTGGCCTTTAAGAGGCAGTGGTATCCATTTTGATTGTGGTCAGTTTCTGAATTGGGTTGGGGCTGCTGGGAAAAATATGCAAATTAGCCCAAATTTTGGCAAAACCCACCCCAAAACAGCTGAATTATTGACTTGGAGCCCTGGGACATATATATTTATAATCAGCGTGGATTGGTGAGTCCAGCCATGCGCTTGTTTTTAAAGGTCAACTCTCACTGTAACTTATAGAAGCACTGCTATTGGTGGGAAGGGGCAAAAAGTTCAGGAAAATTTGCCTTGCAGAGTTTTTGTGAAGGGGATTTGCATTACTGGTGAGAAATGGTCATCCTTGGAGTTACTATGATGGGCAGACCCCTGGTTATCTGGAGGTCCCTGCATGCCCACAAGATGGCCTGGGCAGCATGATGAACACTCTCATGAGAGGGGTCCATTGTGCTAAGGCCATCCACAAGCTTTGTGAAGACACCAAACAGGTTGAGCCAACTACTCACCCTGTTTTCATACTGCCCAGCAGAGTAGCTCCAAGGATGGCTCTTTCCACCTTCCAGTAAGAAAAATAGGGCGAGGGGCAATGCTCTTCCACTTTCCCTTTTAGTAAAATAGAAAAGAAGTTTCTTCTTTAGACTCTTAGTCATGGCTATGGCTGGATGGTGAGTGGGATGCCTTCTGGTGGGGGAAATCTAACTCACACTGAAGGGCACAGAACTCTGCCAGTTGTCTCTTAACCCAGCAAATTAAGCTAGCAGAGCCCACCACTGTCAAAATTTGGATGCCCATAATGATGGCTGTGGGGTTTGTGACCAGGCGTAGGATGGCTTGTCTGGTAGAAGACCAATTCCATGACCCCCACCATGAGTTCTTGGCTGTGTGCTTGATTTCTTGGGGGACTTCAATTATCTGTTTAGCCTTGAGGTCTACTGTTAGTTTAATCTGTGTCTTAGTCTGCTCAATTTGTTTGACAGCTTAGCTCAAATCATT